ACGTGGCATGGGCGCTTGCGCAAAATCCGAGGGATCGAGACAGTTGTAGAGAGGTAGAATACATATTTTTCAGTTCTTATGTTTAGACTTAAGCCATTTCTTTAAACTCTTCCTTCAAAGAAGCTGCGACATGGGCTGGTAACATCCGGTGCCCGTGGAATTTCCGGTTCGCATATGCCGCCTCCGCGCCATCGAGACCCTGTGCGTATGAGGAAATGAAACGGGCGGCACGATTTGCCCATCTACACAAGGGCAATGATAAATATAATAATAGTATGAGAGATACGGGTGCTGACCGCCGAATTTGAAGGAGCGAAGCCTTGTCAAGGGCCTCCTTCACATTCTTCTCCATCTCTTGAATGTTGTTTGTCAGAGGTGTATTGCGGTAATGGAGCTTTGAATAGCCCCAGTATTGCTCTATGAAGTTAGTTTCTGGGTGGTACTTGGGATAGAAGTCGCAGAAGTGACTGCGGGACTCAATATATTCCTGCAGCTGGGGCTTCTGCGAGACAAAGTCAGGTTGGTTGAAGAGCAAACGCCGACAGCAGCAGCCGGTGCGGCCTGGTAGGCACTTGGCAAAGCTGTCAAAGCATTGAGCCTTCAAACCGCGCTCCGGCCAGAGACCACACTCCTGGATGATTCGCTCCATCCCCTTAAACCATCTCGGCATCGTCGGATGGTCTGCTGGGAAGTAGAGAGGCTGCGAAATCTTGTTCTGCCCATCCATGAACCAGCCGTCTCGCATTGGAACACCGCTCTTGGGGAGCCATGTTGCAGAAGGGTTCTTGGTCATGTTTCTGGCAGATAACGCATTCGGTGCTCGCTTCTGATGCCCAGGAGCGTTATCAAACAACCACAGGCCCTTGGCAAAGCCATTCGTCTTCGCTTCGAAGATGTCGATCGCTTTGTCGACTTGCCGAAGCAGGTCATCAGCATCGAACCAGCCATCACGGTTTGCACCTGCCCGAAATAGTATTCTAGCTTCCCTTTTAGTGCGTCCACCTTCAGTCTGCTTTGTCATCGTGAGAAGAAGAAGACTCACTTGTCCTCGTGCTTCAGTCTTCCCCACTCGAGCGTGAGGAAGTCTGACACCATGATAGATTGCCCTTCGCCTTTTTTTACAGGCTGGTTCTTCTGGGAAGAATGGCCCCACACAAACTTGCGGCGGTCGTTCTCATAGAACGTTGACTCGTCGTGAGTGACCAGAATGAGCCGAAAGGGTCCTGGCTCAACTTCGAACCCTTTCGGTGTTGATGCGACATCTCCATCATTGTCGTATGCGACCATTCGCAGCTCGTACCGCTTCCATCGCCCGACAAACTTTTCTCGGTAGGCGACAACATCTGGCCGCTCATGGCCGTCAATGTACATCCCGTTCGTCCTTTTCTTGTATCTCCAATCGAGTTTTCTCAGCCAGCGTCGAGCTGTGCGCTCGCTGATGGACCGACCCCGGGTCTTCTCCTGCATTTCAGGGGTCTTCATGAATTTGACGACGTCAGCCGCGCTGAAGAAGGAGTCCTTCGAGAGCTGAAGTAGATGCTCCTGAAGACGCTCTGCGATGTCCTCGTCATTAAGTAAAGTATGTCGAGGATACCCATAGCCATGGAGTGGAAGCTTATTTGCTGTTAGATACTGGACAAGCCATCCACGGATCGTGCGGGCGTACTTCTTGCTACGACCAGCTGCCTTCGAAGCAAGAATAGAGGCCTGCCGCCAGGTGCAAGGCACCTCCGGATCAAGGAAGAAATTCAGCGTGCCGACCATGCCTGTGAGACGAAATCGGAAGACGACGTCGATGGCCTTGTTCTTGCTCAGTAGGGTGAGCTTGCGCAACGCCGTTCGGAGGGCGTCGGCATCTTTGTAGATATGCTGGTTACGTGAGTGTTCTTTGGCCTTCTCTCCTTCAGGGTTCACATCTATACACTTCTTTTGCAGGTCCCCAAGCATAGCATTAATTTGCTGCCGCTGTTCATCTGTAACAGTGACCTTGGTACTGGTGACACTTGAGCTGGGTACTGCTGGCTGCACCGGGTCTGGAGATGCAGCAGGTGCAACCTAGATTGTGGTGAGTAAGTGTTTCATGCTTATTCAGCTTTGATACTCACGCAGGAGCTGTCCTGTGAAGTTACAGATGTCATCTGACCATTGAAATCGAGTATGTGATCGTCTTCTGGCTCAAGATCTTCGTCGTCATCCTGTGCTGCCTTGGGATGGAAAAAGCGATAAATCAGAGGCTGCCCACTCTCCTCCAGCTCTCTGCGATCTTTTCTTCGCTTCTGCTCAGTTCGTAGCGCATTTCTTGTGTAATGGCTCTTTCGCTTTTTTAATGCTTTCTGGGCTTTTTCAGCTCTTGTATAGACCTCTTGTGCCTTTCTGAGGACCTCGACATAGTCCTGGAGTGTGTCCTCATTAAATTGAAGGTGCTGGT